CAAAACAAGAAAATTATTTTAAAATATAAAATAAAATTAAATAAATCATATGACAATTATAATAGTGTTAGTATAATATATAACTTACTGTAAGTTATATATTATATTAACAATATCACTAATGGAGCTCACACTCCACGACGAACCGTCACAAACCCACCTTCTTTTATAATTTTGTGCCCCACCCCACTCATTCACGTTAACGACGTGGGTCTAAAAATGCTCGTCATATTTTCTCGTTTGTTCTTTTTGTTTTCTGGGAGGGAGAGCACCTGCAAACATACTCTTAGGGAGAGAAGGAGCGGTGGTCCCACATTAAGAAGCTTTGAGGAGGAACAATAAAGAACTTTGAGGAGGAACACTAAAGAAAGGTACACAACAAAAGAACTCAGAAGCCATTTTCTCCATACATAGAGAGAGAGTGAGAACAACATACATATATTTAATTACCTATCTCTAGATAGAGAAAGTACAATATAAATACGTCCACTTTCTAGCTTGAAGTTATGAGAGATTGATTTTATCGTAAACCAAATTTCTAGAGAGAAAGAGCCCAAAAACCACACTTCTATTATGACAAAACCAAATTGCCTAACAACCCCACAATCCCCACAGTTGATATGTCAAATTATATCCTATGTGAGAACATAACCCTTAATAAAGAGGTAAGACAAGAAGGGATAAAATTCGAAATAAATACATTTGGGAAAATTTAAGTGTGGTACCAATGGTGAAAAGATGAGAGAGTAAATTTAAGTGGGCTGGCCAGGTGTGGCACAGGCCCAGTACAGTACAGCACCTGTTAGGAGGTGCGAGTTAGTTCAACTAGGAGGCTAAAAACGGCAATAGTTCAACTATGAGGCTAAAAAAGGTAACGGATGGGCCCAGAAGGACATGGTTGGAAGTAGTGAGAAGAGATAAGGGGCCTTATGGCCTCACTAAGGTATGACCCTTAAAACAGCAAAATAGCGGACCAAGATTCGTATAGCGAATCCCAATGAGTTGGGAAAAGGCTTTGACGATGATGATGATGGTGAGAACATAACCATCAGGTGGAGTGATATTCATGCAATGGCTTCTTCACTGTTCATTTGCACATACAAGTAGTCCTCCACAATATTTGGCTCACTTGAGGACAAATTAAGATCATGCTTCAACAGATTGATTTAATCTCTTTCTCTCTCTCTCTAACCTCTCCCTTGCTCTCACTCTCTTCCCAATTTCGCTGTCTAACTTGTTTTCACTAATTGCAACAAAGGCCACTCTCTTAGCAGATGGTGAAATTATAAAACTCCAAAATATTATAGAATCAACCCAAACATTGATGATTCAGGCCCCAAATTGATCATAATCTCTCTGTCTGTGTGTGTGTGTGTGTGTGTGTGTGTGTGTGTGCGTGTGTGTGTGTGTGTGTGTGTCTGTGTGTGTGCGACAAGCGCATAACCTCTCACTAGAAAAAGCTCTATAGAGTTGGGAGAGAGAATGGAGCTCAAATATTTAAAGGCCATATGATGTATATGAAAGAGTATAAAATAAAAGAGTGATTTCAGTCCACATTGCTTAGGTAGTAAAACAAGGTGGTATCAATGAGGCTCTAAGAAGAAAATAATTATAAGAAAAATATTTATCAGAGTTTTAGTCCCACATTGCTTAATTAGTGAAATAGGGTAGGTGAGTAAGTCTACAAAAGAAGAATTGTTAGAGAGTGATTTGAGAGAATGTATAACGTATGTTACATATTATTATATAATATAATAATATTATAAAATATAATGCATAAAATAATGAATAGTATATAATATATTTATCCGGATTGGGTCGCACACTCAAGGACCTCAATTTTTAACCAAATAGATCTCGAACCTGCGAAACTTATCATTCAATCCCTCGAAGTTGGGATCGAGCTGCCCAACATATTGAGATCCAATCCCCAAATTATGGAATGGTGATCCCAAACCTAGGGATCTTCTAACCTTTAACGATCCCTTGCTCCCAATCTGATCGCAGAACCAGCCTAATTGCAGTAACTATCATGCCACAAAAATAAACACCAAATGTCTTCATCAAAATTGTTGTTATCCCGTACAATTCTAACCAAATTCCCAAAAGTCCGGCTTAGCCAGAGTCGACGCCTTGCCAAATAATATGATCAAATCAATACAGTCATGGGTAATTCCAATATCTTTGAGTCTCATGTTGGTGCAGGTCAAGATGCCTATTATCTTTGATATTTTTTTAAATTTCAGAGATGTATTAGGATTTTTAAAAAATTAAAATTCCTTTTTAATGTTTTTAAGTTTTTTAGGGATTTTAAGGTTCTTTTGCCCTTTTTGTTAAGGATTTTAGAGACTGTTTGGAAAAGTAGTTACAGTCCTTACAGAATATTTATTGATCAAGGGAAAAAATGTTTATACGAATTTTATTTTAATTAGCACATTTAACTCAATTAGAATAAGGATACTGGGCTATACGTAAGGTCTTTAATAGGGTCTTTTTTATAAATAGGGGTGTATATTAGGGTTAGGGTTTTTCTCTCAGAGTTGAATATTATTTGTTTTGAGTGTCCTAGTTAAACCAAAGAGATAAGAGGCTTGGCTTGTAAGTTCCCATCATTATTTTCAATCAAATTGTAGTAAGTTGATTTCACTTTATAAATATTCCACTAAAACATCAGGTCTAAGGTTGGCTCATCTCCCAAAGCGCCCAAGGATATGTTGCAAGTGCAGCGGCTGCTGTAGAAGGTCAAGGTCGAGGTGGTGGTGGATTAGCTTCACTCAATGATCTAAAGAGGGAAACGGAGGAATTGGCATATGAGATATGTCGAAAACATTTGAATCAAAGGAGGCTTCAGTCATTCATGATGATGGCGAATTCGAGTCCAATCTTAATGAAAAGTCAGGTTTAGCAGACTTTAATCAACTACATAACTAGGCGAAAGACAATCCTATTGTGTTTGAAGATCGAGTTATGTTCTCATGGTTTCAATTTGAAACACCTATCTTTGCTCTATGAGTCTTCCTGTCTTTAATGATGATCATAAGGATGATCCGCCTGTCTGATCAGATCAATCAAGAGATAGGGGTTCAGAATGCTCTTTTCTTCAGCCTTGCATTCTTGATTCCATAGGGGCCCCTTCAGTGACACTCTCTCCTTGCTGAAAATCGAGAACTTGTGGGAGGTCCGATCTATGACAAGGACCCCAGTGATCCTATGGTTGATGGAGATCTGATCTTTGATAAAAAACCAGTCTATGGTGAAGAGCAAGAACTCATAGGTGGTTTAATTTATGACAAAAACTGGAATCTTGTGGATGAATCGATTTTTGATGAAGCGTGGGGAGAGGGTGAAGAAATTGTTCCAAAGATTATGGAAACAAACGGTTCATGTAATGGTAAAGGAAAAGGTGAAGATTTTCATTTACAATATAATGCATGTTCGGAGGCCATACGGAATTTCACGAAGAACATTCCATGAATGATGAGTATCTAAGATTTTATTCGGAGTCCTAAAGTTGCAAAGGTTTGAATAGAAGATAGAAATTTCAGGAGAGATTGACAATATAGAGAGGAAGAGAATTCCGATTGAACTAGAATTCCGTGGGCCAAAGAAAGAGAAAGATGATGATGTGGCTCTATGGAATCTCACATTTTTTGGATTTTCCGCCGTTGAGTTTGCCTTTGCCATAAATGACACCTACCAAGTGGTTCACGATATCCCTTGATTATGAGATTCAAGTGACAGATGAGTTGACTTTGAGTGATTGTATCTTCGACAGAGTATAACTTTTTGCTCATAAACTAGAATTGCTATTATTGGTACACATTCGAAAACTTATTCAAAGCTTTACAACATCTTAATCCACTCCTTCAGATTCCCTTGCCAATTTCATCAGAAAAACCTCTGAAGGCCCAAACTCACGAGTTAACAGTTTACAACTTAATTTCTTTTCTTTTATTTTTCTTTTGAAAAAGTTTACAATGTGATTTCCAATGTGATTTTTGGGATAGTTGAATTTGATAAACTTATTATCAATTCCTCACTATACACGTCAAGGTAAGTTTCTTGAGGATTTTTTCTTGCTACCCAAAATCCAGAAGTCCCAAGATCATGTGCGCAATTTTCGGGTCAAATAGAATTGTGGATTTGACATAGGATACATCTTAGCACACTTCAAAACTTGATGATTCTCCAAATGGGAGTCTGATACCAGACATGATTCCTCTTATTTTTTGAATTTTTTCTATCGAATTGTAAGGATGTATTTTTAGGCTTTTTAGGGATTCTTTAAGTTTTTTGGGGATTTTAGGGTTTTTTATTTTTTAAGAATTTTAGGGGGTTTGGAAAAGTAACTAAGAGTCCTTATAGAATTATTATTTATCTACAGTAAAAATGTTACTGTGAGTTTTGTTTTGATTAGAACTTCTAATTCAATAAGAAATAGAATTTCTTGCGTTCTAAATGAGATCTTTTATTAAACTATGAGCTATACTGGGCTTTCTCTTTCAAAGCTGAATACTATTGTTGTTTTTGAGAGTCCTAATTAAACCATAGAAGCTAAGAAGCTTGGCTTTAAAGCTTCTATTAATTTTCAGTCAATGCCTTATTTATTTGCTTTCTTTTTTGCATCACATTCTCACATGAAACAAACAAATTTCATCAGATTATGAGTTTGATTAAGCAATGTACCTTCTTTGAGCAGCTTCCTCCTCCTCCACAAGCAGCTTCTGGCATCGTAGGGCTTCTGCATCCTTGTCTGTCAACCAAGCTTTAATCTGCAGTAAGTGTTTAACTGGTTAAACCCTTAAAAATGTACGAAAGCACTTCCAAAAATTCAGGGCACAAAGAGAGATCAAGTTATAACACTCATTTGGGCAACTTAACAAGAAGAGAAAACCAATGTTCAGTGGTCAATTACCCAACCTGATCACCAATGCCCCCCCCCCCCCTTTTTTACTCTCTCTCTCTCTCTCTCTCTCTGTCTCTCTCTCTCTCACACACACATGGAGAGAGACACAGAAAATGAAGAAAGGTAATTGGTGTGAATAATTTGAAATAACAATTACTTGATGAGACTCGACACAAATGAGATTTTTGCACTACAAATAAATAATCACCAACTAAACCATGACTGTTTTTAAATGAATTCACATCTCAAAAAAAAATACTACAATTAATTATTTTAGTATATGCCATAACCAATGGAGCGTGGACTATAAGGTGCTCCAAAAGGCACTGGTGATTTGTAGGATGAATCCCTTCGGGGACCCACGACGATTAATCTCCACCATCCATCACTAATGGATGGTAGACACCCTTCGGAGTGCTGTAAAGTATCACACTCATTTGATTATGATATGTCCCCAATAATGAAAACGAAAAAATATACAATAAGACCATTTACCTTTGGTACAAAAACATCACAATCACCTGTAGTTATCAGGTGCGACCTCGGGCGGCTAGGGACGCTGACTGAGCACAAATTCTAGAAAAATATTTTCTCAAACTTTGTGACACTACCAACAGCCAGATTTCACATTCGATAGATCGGATGATTGTCACCTTCTTGTACCGAAGGTAAACAATCTTATTGTATACAATCCCAATGAAAACACGTACCAATTTTTGTTCCACCAAGAAGCTAGTGCATGCAACCAAGTTCCTCAGCTCGAGGCCAATTTTTCCAGCTTCTCCATCAAATATAAACTTCTGCATGGATATAGCTGTACCAGCACACAAGAAAGTTCTCTCACTAGCATCATCCAGGAGACTGAAGAGGTCCTTGGATGAAATGGGGAACCTCGAAAGCTTTGCTTGAACTAGATCCTACACAGAAATATCTCCACATTAATTGCTTATTAAGAGAAAAAGGGAAAATAATTGTAGTGTCTGAAACACCTATAAATCCTAAAGGTCATATGAAAATTTGGAACCTCGCTTTTTGGCCAAGTAAAAATTGAAATCTCAAGCCGGTGCCGTAGTCAATCATTTCCTTCAAAAGACTATTTTGCCCATATTATGTGGTGTTTGGAACAATGGACAACCAGGGGTTCTACTACTTAAATGCACCGGGTATTTTAGTAAAATTTAGCAAATGTGACAGTCACATTTTATGGAAATACTCATTGATCGGTGGTTCAACTGCTATGGGCATTCGATAAGAAATGACAACCAAGGCACTGCACTGAAATTCCAATTTTCTGGAGCAGCTGCACAATTAATAGCACATGCTCTGAGCACTGATTTCTTGCTAAACCCTTCCAGTCCCGCCCCCCCACCCCGAGCCCAACCCAAAAATGGCAGGAAAAAAAAAAAAAGTCATCCACAAAAATAAGCCAAAATAAAAGCAAAATGCAGGTCCAATAATGCCACAGGCACTGTTATTGTTATTTTCCATCCAAAAAATTATTATAAAATACCAACGAGACATTAAACAGGTCCAAGAGCAAAAAAAAAAAGGGAACAAAAAGTAATTGAAGATTCCAAGTTACCAGAAGGGCCGACCCAGCCTTTACATAAGAGTGCGGCAAGGAAGAGAGGCTAGGTTTACGAATAAATGATGTCAATGCCCTTACAATGGAAGATCCAGGAACATCCTGCAAAAGGCAGCCAATTAACTACATGGGAGAAGAAGAAAAAATGTCCAAGGCAGCATTTTTTGTTCTAATTTCTTAATGCATTATTTACTTATTTATTTGTTTATTTACGCAGGCTTGTGGAATGATCGACAGCAAATCCAAAGCAATCAATATAAAACATAGTTGTAAGAGAGAAGTGTTAGGATTGCTAAGCTAAAATGGTTGAGATCAGTTATAAGCACAACTAGGCTAGGATATGAGTAATCAGTAAAATAAGTATTAGATATTCATTTAAGAGACAAGGTATATCACCTCGAGAACCACATTCTTGAATGATACTATCTCCTTCGCCTCATCCAAGGAAAGCTGGAAAAAACGCATAAGTTGGGTTTGTTCTTGAATAATAAGAAGGCCATCTCTTTCTCATATAACAAGAGAAAACATCTGATTACCTTATCCCAGAAGGTACCCAAGTAATCTCTGTTCACTCCAGACTCCTACAGCACATCAGAAAAGCATCAGCCAGACAGAATATAACATGAAATGGGAAGTGTTACTACAGTCTTTGTACTCTGTAACTCTAAGGGGCTTTTGTGTTCCGCTCAAAACCAATAACTTACGTAAGTTAACAGAGGCAAAATGTAAAATCTGAATAAAAAATCATTCAATCATGTCATAATAAACCTCTCTTTTTATACAAAGTGATGTTTCTTCTGACCAAATTTACACGACTTTTCATGAAGATGTCACCCAAATATGACGGTCATAAAATAAATTGCCATGAAATAAATAGTGGTTAAAGGTCAAAGACGACGACATATTTGTCACCAGCATACAATCCACTGAAAGGAAAGAGGACCACAGAAAAGTACAGAAATGTCCAAAGGTATACAGATTTACGCATTTGGATTGAACTCTGACACACCTATACTTAAAACTAAAAGAAAAAAAGCAAACAAACAAACCAAAAAGCACAACCTTTTTTTTTTTTTGAAAAGATTGATTGACCAAAATAAGGAAAAAAAGGACCAAGCTGATGGATTAAAAAAAATTTATTGTGAGATCAATCAAGACACCTATGCCAACAAACACATAGGCATACATATTTACGCATTTGGATTGAACTCTGACGCACCTATACTTTAAACTAAAAGAAAAGAAGCAAACAAACAAACCTAAAAGCACAACCTTTTTTTTTCTTTTGAAAAGATTGATTGACCAAAAATAAGGAAAAAAAGGACTCAAGCTGATGGATTAAAAAAAAATTATTGCAAGCTCAATCAAGACACCTATGCCAACAAACACATAGGCACCAGAATTTTGAAAGTACAACAAAAGAAAAGGCATTCCTGAACCTTTTCAATATTCAAAGATCGCCGATGCACACGAACATGCCTTCTGTGATTGATGGGTGAATAGAACTCCCGAGAACATTTATCGCACTTATGCATCTGAGGTTTTGAAGGAGAAAGCAATGGCCATCCCGGAAGATCTGCAGCAAAGGCACAACCATAGATGTAGAACATGCCTAATCATTATGAAGCAAAACCTATTCGCTACTGATTTATTATCACCCAACATACCTGCTTTAGCTGCTTGAGCAAAGGCAACAACAGCCTCTGGAATTTTAAGAGGGTGGACCTGTTCAGGTTGGCTCTTTCTCCCTTTCCCAAGTGACCCCGATCCCTTCACATAGTGAACAGGATCCTTAATGCCGTTCAATTCAGATGAATACGAAGTGATACCATTACAATTTTCTCGCATATACTCCTTCGAGTCTACCTCAAGCTCGTCTTTTGAACCTTTTGAAATTTTATTTGGTCCCTGCTGGTCTAATGCATGTAGTAATTGGATCCACTGGACAGGACTTTCACCAGCCCTAGAAAATGAGAGGAAAGGCTCTCTTCCAATTGCTTGTCTTATAAAACTGTCGAGTGAATCTTGACCTTCTTTCTCAGATTTAAGAACCTTGCTCTCAAGTTTCATTGCATCCGAAATGTTGGAGGGGCTTACTTTCCCTAATGGCATCTGATAGCTGGTGGAAATTGCACCGTTACTTAGGAATTTTCTTCTGCATGGAAACAAGAGCAAAATAATTAGCATATGGAGGCTGACAAACACAACTCACCTAGTTCGCCTCAGGTAAAAGTTAAGGACTCAGACTCCTCAGGACTCGAACTGAACCTGAGTCGAGTGGACCCAGTAGAACTCATAAGACTCGTCTATTTAAAGAAAACGGTATTAGGTTAGACATGGTCTAACCTATTAAACCTGCCTAGTGCTTAGGTCAAGTTGACTCAGGTGAACAATGATACATGAAAGGGCCATATTAGGCATTTATTGGGAATCTTATACAAATACACAGTTGGTTATCATGTATTTGGCATGTGTCAGACCATCAAATGGAAAAGTATTTGTACTTGTATAAGTTGTATCATCCTGTTACCCATCATCAATCATCCTTGAAGTTTAGTTTCATTAGCCCTCTCTACAAGAATCAACGAACTTTCTAAAATTTGTGACCAGCAAGTCTGCTATGAATTTATTTTCAGATTTTTTTCCTCTTGTTTTTGAAACTGTTAAATTATTTCCAGTTTTGAAAGAGCATAAATTTTCTTCTTTCATATCTCGTCCTGTCAGTAGCTAGGAACAATTGCAAAAATCGAATTATACGGGTTTTTGATGTTTCCAGATAATTTTCTCTCAAAAAATAAAACCTGACCTTTTCAACCAAACATATTACAATTTATGCGGTTGCATATTATGAAAGCCTTTTTTGATAAATACATAATATGAGAAACTTCATTTTTGGGATGATATCATAGAGATCATATCCATGTTACAGTAGGATTCAGAATTGCACTTCATTGGTTAAGGTGTTAACCATTGCAACACAATGCTTCAAGTTCAATTCTTACTGCTGAGTTACCCAGAAAAGACATTGATGTTACAGCAGGACATATTCAACTCAGGCCTGTTAAAATAATTTATCAAATTGACAAACAAATGGATATCGAATTATAACACGGGTTCTGTTGATAATGGGCTAGTAAGGTTTCCTTTGGCTAAAGAGGTATGGAATAATCACCAGCATTTATATCACGGAATATAGGACAAGAAAAAATTATTATATCATTGAACGAGAAATGGAGAAGATTTCAAGAATAGATCATGATTGAATATTGGGTTGCAGCATTTATCGAGTATTGCAGGACATCCATTTCACATAGAAAGGTTCTTCACTAGTTACTGAGGAATCAGCTTGCGTTGGCATCACAGTCAGCACTGCTTCCTAAGATACATTACTAGAACCATCAAAGGGATTATACATAGTCTGAAACAGTACATTATTAACTCTTGAGCTTAGTGTGATGCATCCAGCAAACCATGACTCTATCAGATAATTAGATACATTTAATTTGTTGATGGTCTTTTTTATTTGACCCACCAGACCAGACAGTTCTCATGCAATTCACCAGTGAGTTCCAACTGCATATCCTAAAACCGGAACAGAAGGGCATCATTGAAATGGCTCTCTTGCAGATGTCTTATACAAATGCATTGATTTGCTTCTCAACAGACAATAAAAAATAACCAAAAAAAAAAACTAACTTTGCAGCCTCTCAAGAAGAGGAAGCAAACCAGACAGTTGAAGATGGAATCCTCTCGAACATTGATCCACATTTCAACCTGCTCATGAGTTCCAAGAATCAATCCATAGTCATATTCGCTTTGCTCCTCCTTTCATCATGTGACTTTAGAATATGCCCCAGTGCACACCCACCTTCTTATTGAATCCAGTTATGCACGAGATCTCTCTTATCTACATAGCTTGTTCAGCTTGTAACTTCAATTTACTTCGAGGGTAGGTTAGAGGGGGATTTAAACACAGGATGTGGTTCTGCAATTGTCCATGCAGTACCTAGTCAAGCCAGAAGCCGAAACCCGCAACTAGCAAACGTGAGAACTTCCATTGACTCCTAGGAGAATCCATTGTCAATGAATCAAATTTTGACTCAGATCATATAGCGTTCCCAGCAACTTGCTTCTTAACCCCCAAGTTCTGAATTCCACTGCTAACCGGCTGGAAGAAAAAGCAGTTCCTTCTAACAACAACAACTTTGATACCACAATAATGCCCCCAGCTGCATTCCTAAGAAAGAAGAGCTACTCAACTATACCTATCCTTACCCCTTAAAAATCTCACCACCACAAGGACCACTCATTTAGACTCAGTTTCATGACAATCATCGGATTATTTATTTCTCCTTCAAAGTCTTTAACAATCACCCTCATCACCTGCCACCTAGATCCCTCTAATTCTACAGCAAGATCTTCACCACTAGTTTCTCATAGTTGACTGAGTAGACTGCACTCCCTGTTGATTCCCCAACCCAATTCCATCGAACTTTTCCTCACTTTGTTTCACAAATTAACAGCCTCCCTTTATTCCCTTCATTTTAACATTTGCAACTGGTTTCCGCTACATTCCTGTTGATACACAGCTTAATGTCCACCAATCTCCAAGTTCTCTTCAGCGCAAATAAATTATTTCTCACCTTTTGAGTATTTTCCATTGCACCCATATATCTACACAAGACATTATGATGTTTCTATCATCTTCCTCTACTACGTCTTGCCCACTAAACTCAACAACCTGCCTAAGGCGTCCCTACCTCCTGCCTCCCAAGGGTTTTTCCTTTTCATTGCCTTGCTCACCAAGGATTTCCCTCCTTCAATTCTCTTTCTTAGTGGGCTGAAAATCACTATCAACTGGATTTCCTTATCTTGATTTATCTGATGCACAATGCCATTACGTATAGGAGTGTCTCCTATGATGAACACACAAGAGGCCGTGGCCAAGAAAAATTTCCCTTCTACATCATTAGAGCAGCAGGTGTGACCCTTCTCAAACTGTTAATCAATTCACCAACTCCAATGTCCCTTTTACTTCTGCCATCTCCTCCTTCTATTGTGTACACATCATCCAACCCAAACCGCACCCCCACCCCCCCTCCCAAAAAAAAAAAACAAATAAAATAAAATAAAAATAGATAAAGCCCAACCACAAAAACATTGCTGCAGAGTATTTCAAAGGGTTCACAAAGAAACCAACTACTTTTTGCTATTATACCCATAATTTCTTGATTAGATACGAAAGGAATGCTATTTTACCCTAAATAATTAATAAAAATTTAAGGTTCTCTCAGCCATTAGTGAAACTATGAATTCCAACATGTTTTCTTCATAAGATAAGTTCCATTGACACAAAAGAATACAGATGCAGTACAATCTGAAAACCCAAACAAAAACTTCCTATTAAATCACAAACGAATATTTGTTTTGTCGAATAATATAAATGTTGATATTGTTCCACAATCAAATGGATTGAAAGCAATTCAATCATTTTTCTTAGTTCTAGAAACATCATATCCATATCTTACAAGATGTGGAATAATTCCTTGATTTGGCCCCATGACCATATGCTCTCCTACCCTATGAAAAGGATGGTTTGTGTGAGCGTGTGTGTGTTTTTGTGTGTGTGTGTGTGTTTTGTGTGTGTGTGTGTGTGTGTGTGCGTGTTGGGGGGGGGGGGAGGGTTTCCCAAGGAGATAATCAACTACAATATTAGAACACAAAATATGAATCTTCACCACAAAAACAAAGAAATCACCATAAAAACAAAGAAATCATACAACAGAGCATTAATTCTGCTCTTTATCAAACTTAGCAGCAAAAGGCCGACAATTACTAATTCTAAGATTCAAACTATGAGGTTTTAACACATTCTGGTCCTGGGGGTATGATTCCTAGCAACCTTCCAACCCAACCAAAGAAAAAAAAATATCAAACAAACAAGAATAACTTTTATGGATATGCACATTAAAATGGCAAGCATTTCACAACTTCATTCCAATCATTAGGTGTCATATGTCAACAAGAACCAGTTCATGGTAAAATATGAACAAACAGGAGCAAAAGAAAGCGAGAATGCCCATGGACCATCACACACAAATATTGAGCACATCAACTTAGATGATTCTATCCTCGAAGGAGCATAGATCATATCGAACCTCCAAAGAAACTCAATTCAAAAATAAGTGAAGGTAGTTCACAATGATATAAAGTTATAAACTGATGGAGATGATACTATGACGGTTAAATACCCTCAATCAAGCCTGAACAACTATACTATCTTTCAAATTCTATTACCATGGTTTTTACTTATAAATAAATGGTAATAAGAACCAGAGCTGAATCAAGTACTTTTAACAAAGAAACGACATATACAAACCATGTTCTTCTATCAAGCAAAAACAAACAGTGGGTACAAAAGAAAACAGAGAGACAGGGTATTATCTATGATACAAGTATTCATATAGCATGGAGACTAAAAGATCCTTTTCACTAAGCATGAGACGCGGGCAACTTCCACTGATTTTAACATTCCGATGAAAAGGCCAATGAATAAGTCCATTAAAGCAACTGGTCATAAAAAATCAAACCACTGATCTAAAGTTTCATTGATTACCATAGTGTCAAATCACATTCGATCAATAACATCAACGTTCAGATACTATTCTAGATTTAAAGCGCATTTGATCAGAGATCTTGCATGAATAAATGGGAAATGAACAATAAAGAAAAGCTTAAAGGCCTTACCAGAGAAGCAAAGGCGATTGGAAATGGCCAAAATATGGCGATCGCAGAGATTTACAGAGCTGCTGATGCTACACGAAAAATCAAAGCATCACAGATATAGCATGAAAAATCAGAGAAACAAGGGCATATAAGAGAAAGAAGGAGAGAATGAAAGAGAGAGGGAGAGGGAGAGGGAGAGAGAGAGAGAGTAGTTATATAAAGGAAGAAGCAAAAAGACAATGGGGATTTGGCTTTCTTTAAATGGTTTTTGGATCTTAAAAAGGCAGCATGTTTTTCCCTTTTTCTTGATATTTTTAATTTGATTAGAGAAAGGAATAACAAAATTGGAATTTCCAAGCTGTTAAGCTAGAGAGAGAGAGATAATGGTGATGGCCATGATGTATTCAGCTAAATATATAGAGAGAGGCTTCGAGAAGACGAAAGATCATAAGAGAGAGAGAAAGATCATATATCCCGCCAGATGAAGAGAGAGAAAGAGAGTGCCAAATGAAATTGATGCAGCAAATGTGGCGAGACAGATTCTCCTTAAAGAGAGATGCTATTCTGCCGAACGAGTAAATAGAGAGGCAACCAACAAGAGAAAGAGAGAATGGGTGGCAATGGGTCCGATCATCCAGGACCGAGACCCGACCCTAGAAAAGGACATGGGATCTGGACTCGGACATAGATCCGACTCAAAAATTAAAGAAAAACAAATTCTATGTATTTAATTAATAAAAAAAATTTATATAAAGTTGCAACGAATTTAATATGCACCTCAAAAGTTCACCGAAAAAATTTTAAAATAGAAAAGCTCTCTAATTGATTATATCAATATAGAGATGTGTGAATATAAAGAAATAATAATAATTTTGAGTCCGAGAAATAATGTTTCTTGCAACACATTATCTAAACTTTTCATTTTCAAGATTTTCATATGTTTATAGATCTACTTAATTTTAACCATTTTTGAAATTTAAAATTTGGAAAATTGTTTCATGTAGGCTGGACCGCATTTCTACGTATGCAGTCTAAAAAGTATAAAGCATCCATCTAAAAGACGGATGCAAGTAGGTGTTGACGATCCAAATGTTTTCTTACTAGAATTATTACTTGTAGTTTTTTTTAAAGAAAATTTTTTTTTCATGTTCATGATCTCCATGTTAGAGCTTACATGTCTTTAAATATTAAGCCTTAAAATCTATCTCAAAATTATAGATTTATTAAGAGGACCGCATTCTACATATGCGGGCTTCGCCATATAGAAACCGGGTCTTTAAAATTTTATAATTAAATATGAAAATAGATTTGTATAAAATATTAAAAGAAAATTACCTGAAAATTATCTATTATAAAAAATTTTGGTAGGACGCCTTAATTGAATTGTTTAAAGTTACAACACTACAAAAACCGCACCCTTTAATTATATTTAAATATATTCCATATATTGTGACATAAAAAATATTACGAGACCCATAATCGGTCCAAAACTCAAATAATATTCGAGTTAGGATTTGGACCCACCTCCGACCAGCCAGGTTAAATTTTTGGACCCATACCCGGACCAAAATTGGGTCTGGTACTCAATTTCTTGGGTCGGTTCCGGGCCTACTATCACTTAGAGAGAGGGAGAGAGTAAAAGACGCTGTATTTTGGCAACAATAAATACGGAGAGAGCGCCAAATATGAGGAAGATAGAAGAGAGAGAGAGGGATGCGAATAGTGGGCCAGAGGCGATGACATGGATTCTATGTGACCTACACGTGGCAGTGGGATGGGGAGCGAGTCGGGGAGTCAACCGGTGGTTGCCGGTGAAAGCAGGGCACCGACCATGTTGGAGCTCGCACGTGGGAAAGGTTACACGTTACAAAGACCGGTCACTTTTGTGCATTAACGAAGCAAATAGGGCGAGGTGAAAATTATCCTCTTCTTTGCTTCTCAAGCAAGAAAGAGCAAGGTTTAATGAAAAAATTTCGGATTGTTTGATTTGGACTGAAAATTATTAGGTTAAATTGATTCCTGCTAAGTATTAAGAATTGGAAAATTTTCTAATAAAACGGTGGTCTTGGATAACTGATCAAAATTGGCTCCTTTTTTAAAAAAAAAATTATTTTTAAAAATTTTTGTAATGATTTCTTGTCTTATCCAGATCTCATTTTGATTGTCGATCCGAATTGGATTGAAAATCTGGATGGGTGATCCAGGTCAGTGATCTGTTGTTTAAAACGTTACCAAAGACCAAGGATTCGTTGGAGTGCTCTGGTTTTGAGATGGGAAGCAGTCAACTATTTTAGATATATTCTTAAAACCAAAAAAATGAATAAATATGTACAACTCGATATTGTCTAGCAAAAATTTCAACCAAAAAAATGAATAAATATTTACAACTCGATATTTTCTAGCAAAAATTTCAATATAAAATGCATATCTTAAAGGAGCAATTACCCATCATTATAAGATATCACTAGGATAAATTTGCAGGAGTTGGATTGGGATGGCTATAAATTAGCTAAAATTTCACTGTCGAATAGAAGTGATTTATTGGAAGCAAATATCGATAATTAAATAGTTGAAAGAAGGATATCAGGTACTAAATTCTTTCATGCAACTTCCAATTCAAGGAGAAGAAGCAATTCTTTAGGCGGTTGATAGTGATGATGTCGTAGTTGTAGAAGAAGCTATTGTTAATCACTTTCCAAAAAGAATGTATAGCCATTGCGAGACCCAAATTCCCATATTCATAATCTTTCCCCCAATTGAAACTTGAGCTAGATTGCTGGAAAGGCCTTTTCATTTAGATGAGATCAGTTTTGTGTTTCGTTTTCCAACAAATAAGGCACCTAGTCCTTACAGCTTCCCCTTAGGTTCTTTCTACAATTATTGAAGATTGTCAAAAATGATATACTTCTCATGTTTGATGATTTCCATGCAAGGGAAAAGATCGGTAAGATTATGAATTCCTCTTTCTTGCCCTCATCCCTTCAAAGACTCCATTAAAATTATAGGGATCTTAGACCTATAAGTCTCATTAAGAGTCTATATAAGATGATTGCTAAAGTATTGGCTAACATGCTTCCCATTTATTTGGTTAATGTTGTCTCCCTCCCTTAATCGGCCTATAAAAAAGGTTGACAAATTGTAAATAATATTATGATGGCTCAAGAGTGCATTCATTCTACAAAGAGAGATGGTAACCTAGGAGTCGCTTAAAATTGATTTCAAAAAGGCTTGTGACTGTGTTTATTGGGATTTTCTATTGGACATCATGGGCCAAATGGGCTTTTGATCGAGAGGGAGGATGTAGCTTAATGGTTATCAATTTTCGATCAGGTCCTTCTAAATGGGGAAAGTAAGGGATTCTTCAAATCCACCATAAGTATAGAACAAGGATCCTCTATCCCCTTTTTCATTCACCGTAATGGGGAAACTTTTAGCCAGATGATGCCTTAAGTCAATCGAGTTTCTTAACAGATTTGAAATATCTCATTTTTGGCCGAATTGCTTCTTACTTACAATATGCCAATAATATTTAAGTCGTTTGTAGAGAAATAGAATAGGAGATCAAAATACTTTGATTATTTTTGAGGTACGAATTACTTCAAATAGTATTTTTGTATAAGATTGGTACACAGGTTGAGGAAGTTAAGTTTTTAAAAATAGAGATCATAAAAACAACCATAGCTAGGTTATTACCTAAGGTAGTAAATATACAATATACTTTTGCAAGTGGCATATAATCCTCTGCGTTTTCAAATAGATTAGAAATTAGCTTCTTGAAGGTGAACCATAACGTGATAAAGATACTAACATTTTAGGATTGAAGCAAACCATAACGTGATAAGGATACTAACATTTTAGGATTGAAGCCAGATGTGAAACATGATCCTATGATGTAAGAGAATCGATAAATGAGAGAGAAGACTAGTTGAGCAAAATAGAGCAATAATAAGTCTATCCTTTATAATTTTACTTTTATTTACAGTACAGTATATTTTTTAAGAGAGAGAGAGTACAAGTAAAATTGATTACAAGCCTACATACATAAATGCTGATTTAGAGAGAGATGGACCAAATTAGATGAAATGCAAACCACAATCAATCCTTGGCCTTGTATCCATGATACTGTTTGAACACAAGTGGCAAGAAGACTGGAAGTAAGAAACCAAACAAGTTGAAGCACCAAAACCCTAAATTTGCAACAGCAATCCCCCTCCCTACATGCAACCTCCACAAGGAGCACATATTCCCCTCTTTTCCAAACTCATCTCTAACCCAATCCACCAATGTAAAAATCCTTCTTGTATTATAAAACACAGGCACAAAAGCACCAATTGGTAATGAAAACTGGCTTGAGAAAAAGATCCCTTCCAAGAAAACTTGACAACAAGTCAAGAAAAGATGGGGTGCTGCAAACTTAATACCTTCTTTATCTCCCTCCAAAATCCCCCCAAAAATGTACCCAATTGGCAGCAGAAGTCCTATAATTGCTGAAACCTTGGCATAAGAAGTGAGCCACTTACTGTCTTTTTTGATAACTCTTGTTGTTGGGGTGGAATTTATAAGTGGGAAAGCCACTTTGGACAAGATAATTGTGTAGGAGATGGAGAAGATTGCAAAGGCCATGTCTTGAAAGCTTACTGCTTCAATTGAAGAGAGGAATATGGCTATGGTGAGGCATGTATAGTGCCTTAGAGTGAGAAGGAAGAACCTTGGCTTGTTGGGGGGAATTGGGTTTTCTTGAGGGATGTCTTTGGGAGCTTCACTACTCACCCCACCTGACATTTTGTTGTAGAAATGGGGAGATCTGCACTACTTTTAACCCTTAAATCTCTCTCTCATATTTTCCTTCTTCTTTTGTCAGGGGCCAATGCTCTTCCCCAGTCTTTCTAAGGCAACTAAGAGAGATAAACTAATGAAGGGTTGTAATTTTATGGGATTGTTTGTTGAGAGAGAGAATAAGATATTTGGTTGATGCTTTATAATCTGCACCCCATGTCTTGCCACATGGAAGCAGGAGTGTGGGAGAGTAAAGATTTTGTTTTATTTTTGTTGGATAAGTGGGTTTATTTTTCATGGCCACACTTCAGGCTAGATTCTAATGGGAAGATGCAAGAGAAGAGAGAGTATATGTGCTTCAAATCCACAATAAAAGGGAAAGCTTTCCAATGTTTTTCTTTTTATCTTATTTTTCAATGAAGGGTTATTAATTATTATAAGAGAAATTGCATGACTCTAAGTAATGGTGAAAATATTGTTTTTGTGTTCAATAATATATGGATGGATGTGAACATTACAATGTGGTTTCTGTTGTGAACACATAGATAACCACTTCTTATAAAGAGAATATAGAGCTTACTAAGGAACTATCAGTCTTGGCTTAGGTGGGAAGGAAATTAGGGGGCAGGGGTATAGTCAGTTGTGATTAGGGCTGAGAATTAACCCTATCCAACCCAAAATTCGAATTTTAGATCTTATTTGGATCTAGAAATGGATCCAAGATTTCGATCCAACAGGTCGGATCAGGATCTGAATAATAATTTGGATTGGATTCAGGTACAAGTTGATCCGATCCAAATCCTACATGGTTATTAAAATATTATATTATATATACATAAATATATGTGATATAGCATTTATATTTTATAATATTTTTTGTTATATATTATTATAGATATAAAATAAGTTTTTTGGATTCAATCGGATCTAGATTTAGATCCGAATCACATGTATACCTCAAATTTGGATCTAGATCCAAATTTATGGATCCGATTGGGTCTTGATCTGGATCTGAATCCCATGTATACTTTTTGGATCTAAATCTGGATCCCAATGGATCCAAACCCGATCCGACCCATTCTCAACTTGTGGAGGAAAATGACAAGGATAGAGGTTTAATGTAATAGATCCAAGAATGACAAGAAGAAATCTTCTAGAGACGGTGCTCATGGGTGAAATTGGTCAAGGACAGCAATGAAAACACTTAATTTTTCCATGCTTTAGTAAATTCCAAAAAAAAAAAAAAAAAAACTAATGAGATGCCTCATAGAGACCCTGGATATTTTTGTGGTACTGTGGAGCAAAAACTTTTATTACTTCAAACAAGTGCTTTTCAAGCAAACCCTTCAGAAAGCTTTTGCTAAAGCACTCAAACTGGTTGGAAAAACCTTTTGAAATGAATGAGATTGAAATAGCAATATTTAGCATTGGAAGAGATAGGATCCTAGGCATGACAGATTCAACTTAGCCCTCTTCGAAAAGTTTTGGGAGCTAACCAAAGTGGAGGTTGTCCTAATGCTGCAAGAATTGTATGATTAAGAGTAAGATCAATGCCTCCATGAATGCTCCTCCATTATTCTGGTACCCAAGAAGGAAGAGGCAAAGAGCATCGAGAATATCATGTTGAGAGTCATCACCGACTCTCGCACACATTGGACGGCCTGGATGGCGGGAGTGGCAAAAGCCGCACAGTAGATCTGACAATTTTGGTCATAGGATCATCTTAGAAAGAATGATCTTTAAGAAGCACACATTAAAGATGATTACCTGATTTGCTTACAATCAAGAGACTTACGGGTGAGAATGGGGCTAGGGTCGTGATGATAATCCCAACCGAGCCCAATTAAGGGTCTCGCCGTCCATTCTCACTAATTATTCAAAAAAAAATGACTCTTGGCCACAATGTTGCAAATGGATAAACGTAGGAAGGTTTTAGTCACACATTGTTTTAGAGGCATTTAATCAAGTCTCAGCTTTTAGCCGCGGTTAATTCTTTTTGTTTTGCTTTGTTATACGAGAGCTTTACCATGGGCCATACCATATCACTCTGTGTTGACTCATGCCTTTAATCTTTAATTGATATTAAAAGAGGGGTATGGTTTGTATAAGGTTGCAATCTTAAACAATCAAATTAAGATGTACCTCCAAATCATGAGCTACAATTTTGGTGTTGTAAATTCTTAACATGATGTGAGAATCTATTTTTATTTCTAATTCTAAAATTTTAATCTCCAAAAATAGTTCAAATCAAGCAAATTTATAAACGCATGAAAATCTTGAAAATGAACGGCCATTTAGGACTTGAATTTGTTTTTTCTCAATATTTACGATCTTATACAAACCGCACCCGTTTATAAACGCCCCTATTGAGATGAAAATTTGATCCTTCATCTTGTCCTTTTTTGTTTTGGTCACGATTAACCATGAATAATAACTTTTGGATGCGGTTTACCCAAAACCTTAATTTCTATCAATTTTTTTCATCAAATTTATTTCAGTTGCATTTAAATCAAAGTCTAACCGAAGCCATGTCATTATTAAGGGAAATCAATTAAGCTTTTTTTTTTGAAGCTTACTTTGATCATACAACTTAAAGAAGTTTACACAATACTTTCATTAGGCTTAGTTCATCATAGGAAAAATTTTATCACAACCTAATTACAATGTATTCTCCATGTTGGGTACATTAGGGGTGGAATATTTTTTATGAAATATTTTAATTTTAAAAAAAAAATTATGTGGTTAGGTGTGGAAATATTTTCATACCAATAATTTTGGATGTATTTTTTCACACCAATTGACAGCTAATTGGTGTAAAAATATTCTCACACTTAACTACATGATCGCTTCTAATTTGGTAAACCCGGCTAGGTCCTAGTAATCGATAAACCAGCTAGTTCAAAAAATATGAAAAACATATTTAAAGCATGATTAAATAAAGCACATTCAAATGAAGTTGAAAAGTAGCGAAAAAATGGATTTTAACCGATCGATTTGTACACATATATATTTTAAATATTTTTTAAAAAATATGGAAAAAAATAAAAATAAGTGTTCATTAATGCTTTTCAATCTTTGCCCAAATGATTAAAAACATACAAAAACAAGATACAAATAAATCCCTTATTTTTTGAGATTTTATATTTTTTTAAAAAAAATTTAATGGCCAAAACAAATATCTGCTTTTTTTTGTAAAAAAAAAAACCCTGTTTGTGCAACTCCCTGAGTGGACCTCTGAAACTAGGGTTAACCGGGTTCCGATCTAACCTGTGGGTTTTGAGTTGAAACAGCCGATATTTCTAATTCTGATGATGACTTCTATCTATACTTAACATTTTCAAAAGAAACCAGTATAACAAGTATAATTGAGATTAACATTTTCAAGAGAAATCAGTATCACAAGCATAATTAGGATTACAAGTCCCACATTCATACACTAAGGAATGAGCGTAAAGCTAGGTGATAAGATGCCCCAACCTAACATCTTGAGTTCCTACTGCGTGTAGGAGACTCTTTCTCCATAGCTACCCAAGAGAGAGAGAATCAGACCTTAGGCTTGTAATACTGCTCGAATGCTAGTGGCAAGTAAACTGGAAGCAAGAAACAGAACAGATTAAAACACCACAACACTAAATTAACCACAGCAAGCCACTGCCCAGCTTGTAACCTCCACATAGAGCCCACAATCCCTTCTCTTCCAAACTCATCTCTGACCCAATCCACCAGTGTAAAAATCCTCCTTGTATTGTAAGAGATGGGCACAAAAGCACTGACACCCAATGAAAACTTACTGGAGAAAGCAAATCCTTCCATGAAGACTTGAAAACACAGCAAGAAAAGATGGGGTGCTGCAAATTTAGCTCCTTCCTCATCTCCCTCTAAAATTCCCTCAAAAATGTAGCCAGTGGGCAATAACAGTCCTATAATTGCTGCAACCTGGATATAGGACTTGAGCCATTTGTTGTCTTGTTTGAAAACTGGAGTTCTTGGAGTGGAGACTGTTAAAGGAAAGGCCACTTTAGACAAGATAAACGTGTAGAAGAAAGAGAAGATTACAAAGGCCATGTCTTTGAAGCTTACTAATCCGATTGCAGAGATGGTTATGGCTATGGAGAGACAATAAAATTGCCAGAAAGAGAGGAAGAATGAGGGTCTTTGGTTCTTGGGGGGAAATGGGTTTTCTGCTGTGATATCTTTGGAGGCTGAACTATCCACCCCACCTGACATTTTATGCTGAAATGGAGCTTCTGCTCTCTCTTTCTCTGTTTCTGTTTTCGTCATTGTTTCCCTGTTCTTTCTTCGTTAGAGAGAGAAGCCTGATTTGTTCAAAAAATTTAGAGGGAAAGAGAGAAGCATAATGTGTTCATACGAGTTTGTTAGAGAGAGAAAATCTGGCGTTTGTTTTGTTGGGTGAGAGTTTTGACACGTATAACTATGTGGAACGATGAGTATCGGCTGAGTGCTTTGTGGATAAGATGGAATTTTTATATTATAATTATTATTATTTGATAGAAGTCTTTTTGTTAATATACCACAATTTTAAGAAAATCACAAAAAAATTTCCAACATCTCAAACTTACCTCTACACTTTTTTTTTTATATATTTTTTTTGACTAAAATATTATTTACGGTAGTACCGCAATGAATATTACTGTAATTTAAATACTGTATAAAGAACATTACAATACTTTAATTATCGTAATATATTTTCATGATTATTTAATTATCGTAATGTTTTGAAAAACTTTAAACCGAAGTTAATATCAACATTATCTCTCTCCTTCTGCACTTCACGAAATCCAACCCAAAAGATAAAATTTTGATTTTAGTTTATGTTCAAATTTGCTTGTTTGATTCCATAACCTTAAGCATTGTTGTTGCCGGTTCTTATCCTGAGATAAAATTCATGGGAAATGGAAGAGGAATGTTGAAAAATGGTGAGGTTCCAATTCTCCTCTGATCAAGCCGAGTTCAATGGCTTCTTATTACTGGTTATTTGTCTCGGTTGAGAGTACACAAAACCGTATGACACAACCAGAGCCTTTCGACAAATAATTGAAAGTAAGTCCAACTTTAATTTTTCACGGAAACAAAACGCTTTACATAGAGAGAACTTTTGTAACCTGTAAAAATCCAAAAAAAAAAATTGATCAGAGTTCATAAGGCCATGAATGTTCGTTTTCCTCCCATCAGGAAAAAAAGAAGTAATATTCATTTTTCGTGAAAAATGCATCGGAAACTGAAAATGGAAGACAAAAGCGTCCAGAAAAATAATTGAAAGGAATCATAGAACAGAGGCTTCTCTGTTTCTCTCTTATCGCTTCTCATTTGTTCTGTAAAAGTGCAGGAGTTCGCCCTATTCTGATCGATCCTTTCACTCACCATATTTACGTACTTCGTATTACTATTTGTCTTTTCTCACTTTAGAGAGTAAATATTGACATATTATCTGTTTGATCTGCGCTTCATTTTCTTATTTCTTGTTTATAAGTAATGAGTTTGGTTTTGATTTTACAGAAGGCGGGAGGAGTGAGGTAGCCTTGATATTAGTTTCGGTTTGAAACTTTTCAAAACATTATAGTACTAAAATAACAGTGAATAATATATTTATGTATTACCCTAATTAAAGTACCGTAACGTATCTTCACACTATTATGGTAGTCTTTCTACCGTAATACATTCAAAATGTATTACCGTAAAGGGTATTTTCATCTAAAAATCTAAAAAATTGAGAAAAAGATATGGGTGAGGTTTTGAAAAGTTGAATGTTTTTTTATGATTTTCTTAAAATTAAGGTATATTAATGATAATTTCCTTTATTTGAATGTCGGAATTTTGCATTATTAATACCTTGGAAGTTTTTCATGGATCCATATGTGGATCTTGGTTTCAAAAAGTTCGTGTATACTTGCTCCCTCGTTTTGAACTAGTGTTTTTGAAACCAGATTGGCTGGGTAAATCAGCAAATGGGAAACTAGTTTGGATAGGGGAATTCTTGATCTAGATCAACAATCGAATCAATTCTTCTTCTTCTTTTGCCAGTGGCCAATGCTCTTCGTCAGTTTAAGGCTACTAAGAGAGAAACTAATGAAGGGTAGTAATTTTATGGGATTGTTTGTTGAGAGAGAGAAAGAGAGTAGGTTGATGGTTTAGAATCTTCACCCATGTCTTACCACGTGGAAGCAGGAGTGTGGAAGAGTAAAGATTTTATTTTATTTTTATTGGATAAATGGGTTGATTTTTCATGGCCCTGAGGCCATTTCTATAGAGTCCAAGAGGGAGATGCAAGAGAAGAGGAGTATATGTGCTTCAAATCCACAATAAAAGAGAAACCTTTCCAATGTTTTTCTTTTTATCTTATTTTTCAATGAAGGGTTATTAATTATTATAAGAGAAATTGCATGACTCTAAGTAATGCTGAAAATATTGTTTTTGGATTCAATAATATATGGATGGATCAGAACATTACAATGTGGTTTCTGTTGTGAACACATAGACAACCACTTCTTATAAAGAGAATAGAGATCAGACATGGGTTTGGTGGGAAGGAAATTAGGGGGTAGGGGTATATTCCGCCATGATTAGGGCTGATAATTTATCCGATCCAACCCGAAATTTAAATTTTAGATCCGATCTGAATCTAAGAATGGATCCAAGATTTGGATCCAACAGGTCGGATCAAGTTCGGAATAGTAATTTGGATTGGATTCAAGTACACGTTGATCCGATCCAAATCCTACCTGGTTATTAAAATATAATATATTATTATATATATAAATATATATAATATAGCATTTTTAAATATATATTTTATAGTATTTTTTTGTTATATAGTATTTTATAGATATAAAATAACATATAAAATAAATTTTTTAGATTCAATCGGATCCAAATTTAGATATTGATCCATGTATACCTTATATCCAGATCTCGATCCAAATATTCTAGATCTCGATCCAAATATTCTATCGAGTCTTGATTTGGATTCGAATCCCATATATACTTTTTGCAAAGAAGGACGCATTAGAGTTGATTACTTGCTTTAATCCCACCTGAGCCCAATTAAAGATCACGAGGTCCATTCTCACTAACCCCTTAAAAAAAAATTGACTCTTGACCACGATGTTGCAAATGGATAAATCAAAAGTAGGAAGTTGTTAGTCACACATTGTTTTAGAGGCATTTATTCTAAGTCTCCGCTTTTAGCCGCGGTTAATCCTTTTTGTTTTGCTGTATTATACAAGAGCTTTACCAGGGGCCATACTATATCACTCTCCCTCTAAACGTGCTGACACATGTCACATGCCCTTCTTTTATTGAGATTAAAAGAGGGGTATGGTTTGCCTAGGTTGCAAACCATAAAATTAAGATGTACCTCCAAATCGTGAGCTACAATTTTGGTATTATGAATTCTTAAAATGGTGTGAGAATTTATTTTTATCTCTAATTTTAAATTTTTAAACTTAAAAAATGGAGCTACAATTTTGGTATTATGAATTCTTAAAATGGTGTGAGAATCTATTTTTATTTCTAATTTTAAATTTTTAAACTTAAAAAATGGTCCAAATCAAGCAAATTTATAAACGCATGAAAATCTTAAAAATGAACGGTCCTTTAGGACTTGAATTTGTTTTTTCTCAATATTTGTACATTTTCATTTCTAGATGATTAATTAGATATTTTCCAACATCAAAACAACCTTTATCCAAGGATTTTAGAGGTGTACTTATTTCTATATTTAAGGTGTCAACCTTCTATAAACTTTTTTCTTAACTGAGTACCTCTTTATAAAGGATAATATTTATATAAAGTTGCAACCGTACTTATAGAAATAAGATTGCAGCAATCTACATTGTCCGTTTTATTTGGACGGCATAGATTTTACAATATCTTAAAAAACGTATCACTTTTTTACATTGTCTTGATAGATATGTATAAAATATCGCAACATTACTTCTGCAAATAAGATTACAATCTTATACAAACAACACCCCTTTATAAATGCCCCATTTGAGATGAAAATTTGATCCTTTATTTTGTACTTTCTTGTTTTGATCGTGGTTAACCACGAACAATCACTTTTGGATGCTGTTTACCCAAAACCTTCATTTATTTCAATTTTTGCTAACAAAATTCTTTCAGTTGTATCTAAATCAAAGTCTAACCCAAGCCGAGTCATTATTAAGGGAAATCAATTAAGCTATTTTTTTTTTTGAAGCTTACTTTGATCATACAACTTAAAGAAGTTTGCATAATACTTTAATTTGGCTTAGTTTATCATAGGAAAATTCATGTCACAACCTGATTACAATGGATTCTCCATGTTGGGGACATTAAGGGCACATTTGTTTCGCGTGGAATATTTCCCAGGAAATATTTTCACTTGAAAAAAATTTCTCATGTAGTTAGGTGTGAGAATATTTTCACACCAATTATTCTTAGTACAGTTTTTCACACCAATTGGCAGCTAGGTGTGAAAATATTCTCACAGCTAACTACATGATCATTTCTAATTTTGTAAACCCGGCTAGATCCTAGTAATTGATAAACCGGCCACTTCAACCAGCCTAAACGGGCAGGTCCAAAAAGTTTTAAAAAATAGAAATAAATTAAAATTTCAAAAAAATATGAAAAACATATTTAAAGCATGATTAAATAAAGCACATTCAAATCAAGTTGAAAAGTAGTTAAAAAATGGATTTTAACCAATCCATTTGTGCCCCATGGATATTTTTTATATTTTTAAAAAAGATAGAAAAATGTATAGTTGTTCGTGAACAATTTTCAATCTTTTCCGAAATGATTTACAAAAAACACGTTACAAATAAATCCCTTATTTTTTGAGATTATAAATCCCTTTATATATATATATATATATATATATATATATTTAATTTTTTAATGGGCAAAACAAATGTCTGTTTTTTAAAAAAAAGAAAAAAAAAAACCGCCATGTTGGTTATTACTGGGTCAGTTTGTACTCAAAACCAGTCAATTGAGTACTGGTCCTGTGAGGTGTTCAACCCACCGAGTGGACCTCTGAAACCACGGTTAACCGGTTCCGATCTAACCGGTTGGTTTTGATTTGAAACAGCTGATATTTCTAATTTTGATTATGACTTCTATCTATACTAGACATTTTCAAGGGAAATCAGTAATACAAGTATAATTGAGATTCCAAGCCCATATTTATACAATAAGCTTAAGGCTAGGTGATGACAGTGGCCAAGTTTCATTCCTGCTACAGGTAGTAGACTCTTTCTCTACAACTACCAAGAGAG